ACAAAGAATTAAACAGAGATTTGGATAATAAAAAGAACGGGACTCTAAAAAAGATGGAAGAAGACAAAGTAGGTCAATAGGTTGGACATTTGAAGTTAAAATAAAAAAAAATTAAATGATAAAATAGAATTATGGAGTATTAAGTAAGAGCATAATTAAAAAAAAAAATTAAAAATAATCCAACTATACCAAATCGATTACTTTATAAAATGGGACTTTTAATTATTCCAGAATAATCAATTTAACAATAGGAATACAACCAATTTTAAATAAACAAATCAAAATAAATATTGCTGCTCAAAATGAAGACTCTGTTTTAGCGGTGTCACTGTCCCTCCAAAGAGAAGACTGTTGACGGGCCCCATAAATACCACGTCTTCGTCATAACTAAGAATTAAGGTTCATATAATCACTATCAGTAGAACTCTTCTGCTTCTAAACCTAGACGAACTCTGAAAATACGCAGCACAAACATTCTCTGAAGTTCAAAATACTAAGAAATCGCACGCATACGATATTCGCAATCAAAGTTCGAAGAACATTCACGAATCTGCATGAATGAATTCACATCTCCTTTGAGGTTCTCTTCTCAGTTGATTGAATGTATCGTTAATTTCCGCATTAATGTCTCATTTTCATATATGTTATCCCATTTTTGCGCCTCGATTCTGATTCAGTAAAGTTTGAACATTTGGCAAGAGGTCAAACTCAAAACTCAAATCTCGAAAGTGAACGAACTGATTTTAGGTTTTAATATGTTCATTTGCGTTAAAATTTTTGAATTTTATGTGCTTCTGAATTGTGATCGCTAGAATTTCGATGAACTTTTCACGGTAGCGGTAATGATTAGAAAAACTCAGATCTTACTGAGGTTCTCTTCTTAATTAATCGTATTTATCCTAAATTTCCTCATGAATTTATCATTCTCATGTATATTATCCGATATTCCGACTTGATTTCTTCTAAAAATAAGTTTGAAAATTTATTGGGAGCTCATATTCAAAAATCGAGATCGAAAGTCAGAGCGATCAAACTTTAGTGTAAAGATGTTTAATTAATAGTACCATTCAGTTTAAATTAGGGTTTTTCTATGATGTTATATGCTTGTGGTTTGTGATTGCAGAAGAATTTGAAGAAAGCATGGATTTCTTTTACGGTAAAAGTAACGATTCGCAAGCTTCCAAAGTCCGATCCTTTGATGTTTCACCAATCAACACTCAAAACTTCATCGGCCGTGGCCGTTTTTATCCTGGACCAAAAACTCGGATCCTCGATCCTTACGCTTCTTCAGATAGTTCTGGTAGTTCTTCCAATAGAGTACTCTCTCCGCTAGCCCGATACCTTCATTCCAGCTCGCCGGTACCGTTTGCCAGAGATTCGCTGGAGCGTCGTTCTCTTGTCAATAGTAGCAGCGGAAGCAGAAGCAGTTCTACCGCCGCCGGCGTTCTCCGTTCGTCTCTAGCTTCGATTGAGAACATCGAGATTCCGCCGGCTTTCAGGACTCCGGTGAAAGTCGAAGAGGATGTGGTAGTCATGGATGGCATTCTCGTTGAGCCGAAACATAGCTCAAGAGCTAAATCGTTGCCGTCAACATCAGATTCCGGAAGGTTGTCGTCGTCAACATCAGGAAGTGAAAATAGCTCTCACAAGTCGGATGTTTGTCGGTGGTGGGGGGATACCTCCACGTGCCGCTTTGGTTCCAAATGCCGGGTCTCTCTCTTCTCTTTCTTCTCTCTCTTTCTCAAGAATATGATCCAATGCTTCTGGAATATTCTTGCACCCATTATACGGTTGAGATTAACTTTCTAGTTTTGACATTGATCTCAACCGCAAATTTTTTCATTAGTCAACTTTACTAAAATCCACAACTCAAAACATTTATCGCTTCAATTAAACAGTTCGTACACGGAAAAGAAGATTTACGCCCAACTGCTTTCGCCAACAGGAATCAATCTGAGGTATTAAAAATTTAACTAAATGTATTTACTGCTGAATTTATCTTTTTTTAGGATTTTAATGTATCAATTAAAGTTCATTGTGAAAATTCATTTTGATCATCTATCTTCACATGGTTATATGCTTGTAGGCACTAAGCAGCAGGTCATACAGTTCAGGATCATGTGCATATGGACCGAGGGTCCGATCTGTTCATCACCAGGTCAACTCAGCCGCGTCTTCAACAGAATCAGCAGCAATGGCCACGCCTACTACTGTTAAAAAAGTCGTGTCTACAAAAGATAAAGAGCCCCCAAGCAGCGACAGTAGCCCTAGTTCCACCACCTCCACAATTGCTATCTCTGACACTGACTGGTCTCCCTTGGATGATAATATTGAGGTTTCTTTGAATTCTTCTGGTGAAAAATGTCCTTCCAGAGAAGATGTTGATGCTCATATACAGACTGTTCTCTATGGTCTTTCTGGAAGAAAGAGATTGCCGGCATTTGTTGAATTTTCTGAGGAGTAGCTGTGCCATATTCCCAAGTCTCTCTTCCTGCCATCAACTACCAATAAGGTAATCAAGAGCTGATAGTGACTTCCTTGTGTTTGAAGGGGTTGTAATTGCTTTTGTTGCGTTGCAGATTTGACAATTCCAGGAGTAGTACTATCATAACAAAGACAATATACTGTCAACTAATATCTAGGATATGAATGGACAATTGGACACGGATCATACAACATAGAATTGCTGAGTGTTTTTGGCTGATACAGAAAAAAACTAGGAGCATACGAATAGTTGATCTGTAGTGCAGGGCTGCAGGGCTCTTGCCCCAAATGATCTCAGTTTATCAAAATCAAGATGTTCCATATTCTTGTTTGTGAATTTGCTTCCTGTGTTGAGTTTTTGTATCAAAAATCAACATAGCATCACCTACATATTGCAGCTGATAGTTCCCGAATACTCTGAGAACTGTTTGTTTAAGGCAATTAGGTTCAAATTTACCAATCAATCAAAAAAAAAAAAAAAAAAAAAAAAAAAAAAAAAGGAAAGATAGTTGCTTTTTCAATACATCCATCAGCTGAGAGGTGCTAAATTTGCCTTGATCCTTGCCATGATTGTCTTTAGGTATAACTGCGCAATTGTACAGTTTATTTTGTTGTGCTAGTATTTTTCATTTCACCCAGTAAGCAGGTGAGAGAAATAACTTACTTGAGGTACAGGATAACACTAGGACTCAAATTCCTAATAAATTATTCATATTGTGACGTCTTGGCTATAAAAGGGGAGAAATTCAAAAATAGCCAGATTTACAGCGGGTCGTTCAAAAATAGCCCAATTTCAAAAGTAATCGAAATTTAGCCACTTTTCATGTAAAGATAAATCTGAGCGAAAATATTGTTTAAAACCCGGAAAATACGTCAGTATATTATGCTGGAATTCTAGCATAAGTCAACTTGAACTCCAGCATATTATACTGGAGTTCCAGGATAAGTATGTTGGATGAAGTTCCAGCATAAGTACACTAAAACTCCAGCATAATATACTGGAGTTCCAGCAAGTATATTGGTCCAGCATAATATACTGGAGTTTGGAGCACCGGTGCTCCAGTCTCCAGGTTCAGCATAATATGCTAGAGTTCATACACAGGTGCACCGAACTCCAGTATATTATGCTGGACCGGTCTTTATTACAGAATAGTGGTTATTTTTCATTGACTTGGTAAATGCTGGCTATTTTTGAATGACCAGTACGAAAACTGGCTATACCGTGCTATTTTTACCTATAAAAGAATACAAGGATTTAAATTCTATTCGAATTGTGATATCTTGACCATTTAAATGTCTTAGAAAACACTTATCGTGCTAGTGTTTGAGAATCAGTATAAGGTTCACTTGTAGCTCTAAATTTGTAAAGTCTGTTGATAATAAAATCAATTTCCTTGGTTTTAGTAGCTCAAGCGCGTAGATTTACAAAGAAATGCTGGTCTCCTTAAAGTGTGTTAGCTACAAAACAGTTCTGAAAGTTGACATTTTACTTATGTGGAAAAAGAGGATCAGATCCTTTTGTAACTGTCTTTTGCTATCAGTGCAAGTTAGTTTATTGGTAATAACTATCCTTAATGTGATGCTTCGAATTTCGCTATTGTGCGTAGCAAGTTAACATATACTTTTAAGGAATATCATTCTCATCTGTTTAATTAGCAACATAATTTGTGATGGCTCAACAAATTTTTTACCGTCATGGGGATTGATTGCAAGTGGGGAAGGAAGTCTGGACGTTGGTTTTCGCCAGTGCCAGGTGGTAGGAGAAAAAGGAGCTGAAACCAAACCTGCGCATTTACTTTGTTGGGGTTGTATATATTAACTACATAGGCCAGCGACATAGACCATGACTAATGACGTTGCACTAACATTTTTGCCAGCAGTGCGTATTAAGAACATGCCCGAAGAGTAAGACTGTCAAAACGGGCTACCCCAAGCCTCGTGGGGTTTTAAATTTGACGGGCTAGACGGACTGGCCCTCCATTTATATGGGCCTTAAAATGGTCAGCCCAGCCCTAAGAGGGCCGGGGCTAGGGCGGGCCGGCCGTTCAATATTTTTAGAAAAAAATATTTTTCTCAAATTTTTAGATATTGTTTCGTAACATAATCTCTTTATCATATGAGCGACTTCTGTTTATTTAGAGTGCACAAGAATCTTGATATTTGACAAGGAATCTCGTAATTAAAATGTAAATTCTCTATATTTCTAGCTCTTCTTTTTTATTGTTACATAAATATTTTTTTAGTACTTTTCTTTCACTTTTCTTACGTTCAGGAATTGCTTCAATAAGTTTATACGTTAAGGTTTTTTAATTTAGGTTTAATATTATTTGTTGATTTCATCATTATAGTCCATACAATTTTTAAAATTCATGAAATTTGCTAGTGTTGTCAATTTTCTTTGGGTATTAAAACTTACCTTTTTGTATGTTGAAGAGCAATTTAATAATTAATAACATATTAAAGTAACCAAATTAATCATTGGCCAGTTAAAGTAATATTTTCTTTTGGATTAAAATTATTGGCCACTTAAAACTTTCTTAGTTTGTTGTTAATTAAGCAAAAGAAAAACTAATCTCGTCATACTATATGCATATCAAAAATATAAATTCTAGTTGATGTGGTAGGATAAATGAGCAATCTAAGATTGGAAAATGGGGATTATAGTTAATAATTTTTTAGTTTTTACTTTTTTAAAATATTTCAATTTGAATTTAATTAATTTTAGGCCCACGGACCGGCCTAGACCTAGCCTCGATCAAGCCTCAAAGGGCCAGCAGACTGACTTGGGTCGGACTTATAAGCCTCAATTTTAAACGGGCTAAAAAAATTACAACCTAGCCCTACCCAAATAGCGGGCTGGGTAGGGCCATTTTGACGATTGTGTATTTGGAAAATTCTAAAATGGGGCCAAGAACCTCTTCGTTTAAGGAGAGAAGATGAATTTGATTGTATCAATAAGACATCCTTTTGGGTATCATCGACAAAGTTGATTCTCAAAGTTGTAGTGTGGGTGATCTTCATTGCATAGGCTACTTTTATTTTCTTATTGCCTTCTAAATTGATGAATGATCTGCAAGGGAAATTTATTCGAGCCACCCGAGGAACTATTTTTGGACAACAGGTTTGTTTCCAACTTGAAAGTTTCTTACTTTAATGTTGTATCATTGTTTCGAATTTCTTAGTAAGTGATATCAGTTTTTGTTCGATTGCAGGAAGCACATTCTTGATATTCAGTTTCCCAATTTTCATGATTGCATTTCTTGCAATTATTCGCCTCGTTCTCTCTGGTGAAGATGAACCCCAAGTGTATGTGTATCTGGTAGCTTGATTTCTTATTTGTTAGACCTTAGAAGTTAGTGGAAAGGAAGTGCTCATTAAAAGCATTTTATCGAGTATGCCCACCTATTACTTGTCTCTGTTGCAAGCTCCTGGGAGCATCACAGAAAAACTGGAGCGGCTTTAAAGGAACTTTCTATGGAATGCAGCGGATGGAACTAGAAAGTATCATATAGTGAATTGGCAGACAGTCATTTCCCCAAAGAAGTGGAGTGGACTTGGAGTAAAAGATCTTAGGGTATTCAACAGAGCTTTGTTGGGGATATGACTATGGAGATTCGGGGTAGAAGAGCATGCTCTATGGAGGGAGGTCATAGTAGAGAAGTACGATTCCACGGGAGGGGGTTGGAGGACTAAGGCGATCACAACACCTTTCGGGTGTGGCATATGGAGGAGCATCATGAAGAATTGGGAATCCTTCGGTGGCAACATCTCTTACAGGGTGGGAGATGGAAGAAGAATCAGCTTTTGGAATCATAGGTGGTGTGAAAATGATACTCTAAGGGTCTCCTTCCCCCACGTCTTCAGAGTTTCAAACCAAAAGGAATTGATGGTCCAACAAATTCGTAAGGAACATGCAGGGGGTAGTATGGGACCTCTCATCTAGAAGGAACATGCAAGATTGGGAGATTGCGGAGCTCTAAGATTTATTGACACTGCTATATGGGCAAGACTTGCCTCGGCCATCTTGTGATTCTTGGAGATGGGGTTTGCGTGGCGATGATCCGTTCACCGTAAAGTCCTTTTACCAGAGTATGTTGGTGAAAGAGGAGGCCTCTTTTCCATACTCCTCCATCTGGATTCCTAAGGCGCCTACGGAGGTGTGCTTTTTTGCATGGCTAGCGGCGAGGGGAGTGATTTTGACTGCCGAGAATCTGCGAATGAGGGGAATTACACTTGTTAGTTGGTGTTATATGTGTAAAAGCTCAGGGGAAGAAGTTGATCATCTTTTGTTGCATTGCACTGTGTCCTCGGCTTTGTGGAGGGCGATCCTGAACCTTTTTGGTGTTCAATGGGTGATGCCAAGCACTGTAAAGGAAATGCTATATAGCTGGGCCGGTTTCCGTAGAAGGAGAAAGCAAAAGCGTGGAAGTTCGCCCCGTTAGCTCTCATGTGGATAGTTTGGGGGGAGAGAAATAGGAGAGCTTTTGAGGGGATTGAGTCTCCTTTTTCACATCTTAAGAATAGTCTTTTATCTTTGATCGTTTTTTGGTGCATTCATATAGCCCCAATTTGTATAGAAGATTGAGCGTCTTTTGTAGAGAATCATGTTCTGATGTAAATTCTCAACTTTTTGGTATACTTCTTGTATACGGGAGTTCTCTCCCTTTTGATTAATACAATTTACCTTATAAGTGGATGTTCTGAACTTGTGTAGTTACTTGAATTTTAAGCTGTTGCAGCCTGTAGGAAGAAGACTGCGAAAGGTCCAAGTTTTCGCTTGTGGACATTCCCAGTGCTGGTGGATGGACCATTTGGGGTTGTTACAGCTGCAGAAATGATTGGTGTTATACTCTTCTCAGCGTACATCATCTGGGCTGTAGTTATGTACAGTATACGGAATGTTGACCTCTTATCATTATTTCATGTACAAGATAAGAGAAAGTAGTTGCTAATGACGTTCACCATGTTCAAGAGCTTGGGTTTGTTAACCTGCTCATTTAGACCTCTTGTTGTTCTTTAATTTGCACCATTTTGTTCCGGCTTGACAAAATAGTCATCCTTTCAGAGAACTAAGTTACCTTAATCCTTTTATCTATACATGTATGGCTGGGATATAAAGATCATTATCCATTTTCCAATAGAAGTACATGATATGATTCTTTAAAGCTATTTATTTTGCATCCTTCTGGCCTTCATTTGCTCTATATTCAGGAATTTTTCAATCCAATATGCCCTTAATTCAAATTTTGGTTCAACTTTGTTCGTATATTGTCTTATATAGTAGCTCTTTTCTCTCCAAAAATATGCATGGTAGTAGAGTTCTGAAAGTACTGAAACACTCTTCTCGAGTAGTTGATGATTCCAATTTACTGAAGCTTGAGCTAAACATGACTTTAGAGCCTGTTTAAAGATATGCGACCTATTGAAATAATAAATATATCCTAGTTTCTTATGTTTATTCCTGCCCCTCTCTAATGAAAACAAACTGATTGAGATCAGTTGAGTACTGTGCACTTTCTGCATCACACGATAATTCCAGGCTATTCTAACTATGTGTTTGATTTTACTAACTTCACTTATATAAAACAGGGATCTTTTAAGTTCATCTACTGCACATTATCTAGTCCACCTGTGATTTTAAATTGGAAAAGATGATTGATTTTCTTTTCTTTTGATCTGTCCTCTCTTCTTTGTCACCTCAATTTATAATTGCGCATCTTGATAAATATAAAAGAGAATTCCATGTCAAAAGGTTTCGAAGTATTGGGATATAAACATAGTTCTTACATCAGACTTTAGAACCAGTACATAGTTTGTTGACTTGAAGGCTCCTTTAATAGCAGGATCGACTAATATCTGCTGTTGTAATTTTCCAGTGTTCTGTTGCTGGAGCTAACAGGCCTTCGTTTTGGATTCATTGGATTAATCTGCTTAGCATTTCTGTTTCTGCCTGTTGCACGGGGTTCAGTTCTTCTTCGAGCTATAGATATTCCTTTTCAACATGCCACTCGATATCATGTTTGGCTGGGACATCTTACTATGGCTCTTTTTAGCCTTCATGGCCTGTTCTATGTGATTGGCTGGGCGCCGCCTTTTGGAGGAAGTGAGTTCTAAAACTGAAAATTATTTCCTTAGCCCATAGAGATCCCTTGTATTAAGTTGTAATTCAAATATTAAAGGGGGTTCATGACATGTAATCCATCTTTGTGAGTATTCTTGGTAAAGAAATTGAAGACTTGGACTTTGTCACTGTGTTTAATGCAGCTCATTCAGTGGAGAACATAGGAGCAGCAATTTTCCAGGAGTTATCAGCCTAGCAGCTGGGTGGGTGACTTCACTTCCTGGAGTAAGGAGACAAAACTTTGAACTGTTCTTCTATACACACCAATTATATGTGGTGTTCTTGAATGGTCCAATTGTTTGTGGCTTCATTTCAGCCAAATTTCTGCTTACATAGCCTGATTGAATGTTGGGTATTAGTCTAGCAAATAACGAACATATGATTAAGTTTTTAGATACGGAAAAAGAACAAAGCGAAATTGCATTCATTCTTTCACAGGCACCTAAAATGGCAAGATCATATTCACTAATGACTTAGAGCGCACAAGATGTTGATCAAAAGGGATTAGTTTTTTTTTTTTTTTTTTTTTTTTACCATAATTCAACTTGTATTTAGGCCTGGATTTGAGTTGTAGTTAGGCTTGAATTAATTTTAATTTTTGTACCAAATTGATATTTTTAAAGTAATGGTGACTTATGTATGTATGCATTTTTTGTAAAATAAATGTGACCACTCATATATATTTAAGATCATATTCTCTGGCAAAATATTATCAGATTGCAGTGGAACCCGTTAATTCAACGTATCACCGCCTCATAATATCAACTTTGAGATAAGTGCAAGTGATATGTTCTATATAATTATGTTGACATGTTGATCTCTTGGATGAAACCAGCTCACGAGTCAACACCAAATTCATCTTAGCTTTGCACTAATATCTTGTGAATTTACATGTGAACATCAAATTTGTTGATATAAAAATAATAAGTATATTACGATTTCATCCAAAAGTAAATTTTTTTCCCTTCAATTATCAAGTGAATTTTTTTTTTGGAACAACTCTTGTCCACGTTAAATATGACAATTTAATCATAATAAGTTTTTTTTTTTTTTTTTACAATTAAACCGATCTTTTGAGTTATTCAAGGCACAAATACTATAATATAATTCTCACACTTTCTCATTACTTCCTTCGTCTAGTTACTACTATTCTATATTGTTCCCCTGATTTCGGTTGGTTGAGTCATGAGTGAGACTAATATATGTATCTAACAAATAAAAATAGGCGAAAATGACGCTGAAAAGGATCACTAACATGGAATGCAAGCAAAAGACATAAAAAGATTCCTAAAATTGATACTATGATTTTTTCTGCATATTCTAGGCTTTTCATGCTGTTGATGTTGTTTTTGGCTGAGGAATGAGTGACTCTGGTTTAGTTTTGAGAAAAATGTCACAATCAATTTTTTAACATCACATAAATTTGAGTAGTTGTACACTAATAAATACTACCCTCACACTTTGGTTTTCTGTGCAATTATTTGCACACTTCCAAGTAAGGGTGTACACGGACCGAGTTGATTCGATTTTTATCAAAACTAAACCAAATCAACTATATCGGTTTGGATTGATTCGATTTTGTCAGATTTTTCGGGTTTTCGAGTTTTTTGTTACATGAATATTATTTCAATCTTACTTTGTTAAAATTATAGATAAAGCTTTGATAAGTGAATATATGTTTAGTAAATATGGAAACAAATTGACAAACATATGATCTATTAAAATACTCTACTGGGTGAATTTTTTTAGAAACACATGACAGTTATTTTCTTAGTCATCTAACAATAATTTTTCGTTAATTTACGCTTTCAAGGTTAATACATGAGAGGATCCCAAATATTTCTACATTTTCTAAAAAAAATTTACTATAAAGTCTTAAAAATATAAATAAAATTTATATATTTATATGTCGGTTTGGTTCGATGTTTTTTACTCAATACCAAACCAAGTCAAACCAAACCTAGTCGGGTTTTTTAATCGGTTTGATTTGGTTTTTCGGTTTGATACGGTTTTCCGGTTCGGTTTGAACACCCCTACTTCCAAGCATTTAGGGATCATAAAAATTCGCGTTTTTAGTAAATAATTATAGGATATCTTCAGGTCATGCAGCCAACCACGCCATTGGTTTTTATGATTTTATTTGGTTACTTCACAATTTGAAAATTATATGGGTGAAACTTTTGGCCCTAGAAAGTAGTTTTTATAAAAAGAAAATAATAATATTAGAAAATCATAGTGTGTGTTGATGAGATTTTGTAGTTCAAAAGATTAATAATAATCTCTAAGCGTTATTTGAAGATAATATGAAGTTAAAAATATAAAATAGATATATGAAAAATGAGCCATTTTCCTTCTTTTGATGGATTGTTACAACTTACAATCATATACGTACTAAAAATATAACATTCTTTCAAAGAATATTTTTTAAAAATGACTTCCACTACCAAATACCTGAACATAAATTACCTAGGACTAGAAATTGAAATGTCCGTCTACACTAGGACTAGGCCTTATTGTCTCTTCAATCTATATATATATATATATATATATATATATATATATATATATACTTATATCTATATTAAAAGCACTTATATTAAAGGCCCATAGCGAAATATCGTTCGCTATTTTTACTCTCTATAAGTGTACTTTATAATTGATAAAATTGTAAATAAAAATAAAGTACTTTAAAAAAAAAAAAGATATAGCCGTAGAATAAAAAGAAATAATAATTAAGAAGAAGAGTAGAAGTAGGAACCTTCTTCCTTAATTAATATACCTAACAATCTAACAAAGATTGTAAAGTCAAAAAATTAGTAGGTAAAAAAGGAAAAACAATAAGACAACAATTAGAAGACCAATTAATTTCGTAGGTTAAATATGGAAAAAGAATAAGATAACAAGTAGGAGACCCATTTATATTAAATAATATATTTATTTATTTTAAAAGTAATTTTATTTGTATTTACAATTTTATCCATTATAAAGTACACTTATAGAGGGTAAAAATGGCGAATGACATTTCGCTAAGGGTCTTCGTGCTTTTAATATAGTACTAGTAGGCGCCATCACAACTCCCGAGGGTGGGAATCCGGGTCGTGACACAAGAAAAACAATTACTTGTGACACTTATTAAGATGATGTTTCTTAAAACATATTACATTACATTGTTGAGAAGTTTTTCACAATTTTTTGAACATATGTAAGAATAATAAAATACATGATTAATCACATGAATCATATAATTGCGTCGAGTTTGTAGCTTTTTACTTGAAAATATTATCGAAAATTACAAAGAAGAGAAGTATATGATAATTTTGAAACTCATTTCAATCGTTTGAGTTAAAACAATTTTAATACTTTTAGATAAATCTCCACTATTTAAATATGTACTATCGAGAATAATCAAGAATTATGTGGACATGAAGAATAGATACATTTAAAAGAATTATATTACTCTAATACTCTAAAATATCCCTCAATAAATAAGTACCTTAAATAGTACAAACATTTATTTTATAAAAAATATATTTATTATCTAGAATAAGGTAAATATGAAAAAGATAGATAATTTAAAAAACAAAACTTAAATTCATAAACTCAATATCCTTAGAACAATACACAAAGATAAAATCAATACGTTATATTATACAAGCTTTCTATTTGTTTGGAAAGTTCCGGTTGATTTTGACATTCTATATGAACATCGTAATATATTTTTGTTTTTGTAACTGAGTCATCCAATCATTGTGTTTCACTTACTTTAAACTGTTTTTAACCAATCATCACGCATAATATACTACTAATAATATTTTAAATATTTTGCATTTTATTTTAATATAAATTGATGTAACATCAAATTGGAAATAATTTATGGCACATGAACATCTAATGAAAATAAACCAATCAAAGAAAAAATTTGTTAAACTTCGATATATAAAAGACTTGAACGAACTTGTTCTAGGAAATAATCTAACATATATCCATCGATTATCTTTGAGAAATTTTTAAAGGAATCAAATACTCATACTGAAGTAAAAATAAATAAATTAAAGAACAATCTCATTTGTATTATTAGAACCACCTTATTATCAGGTAAAAGAAAAATGTTTATATAAACTTGCCCCTATATTATTTTTATCATTTAAAAGTAGATGTTATATTTTAAAAGGTTATAATTTAATTATATTTTTATTATTTAATATTTTAAAAATTAACTTAATTTATTGTGTAATAACTCCTCATACTTAGGAACACATAATATATATCATATAATTTAGTTTTAGCTTTATATGAACTATAAAAATTAAATTGAAAGAATAGTAAGAATTTTTCAATTTGTTTAAATATTATAAATGTTTTTAGAGCATAATACTAAATTTTTCATTTAATACGTTCCTTGTTTCCTTGTTTGTTATAGAGAATTGTAATTAGGAACAACAATTCTTTTTGATAGAAAATTATGGACGTGCTTTTCTTATTTATGTAGGATCAACATTGTAGGGTCGGCAATATCTGTAGTTTAAATCAAAAAAGAATTTTATTATTAGGTAATTTACTATTAGATCCTTAAATTATACAATATTTAAGGGCATAAAAATCGATCAATGTTTCAGGGATATTTTTGTCGTTCAACATTTAACATAAATTATTCGTGCTTTTATAATAATATAGATATAGATATAAATATAGATTAATATTTATGAACGTGCAACTGATGATTTAAATACTTATTTATATGAAAGAACAATAAAATTTAATTAATGAGAGAAATTTTATGTATAATAATACAACAATCATCTAAATGCCGAAAAATATTATTACATTAGCATAATACATGAATTTAAATAAAAGGACATCATCAAAACTTACACAAATGATCAATTTTCTCATGTTAGTAGATAATTACGTAATATAGTTTAAAAGTATTTAATGTGATGGTATCTTAACAAACACTTCTTTGACGTTGGACAACATAATAGATTTGTATCGACCTTAATTAAGTTCTAATTTTTTTATGAAAATACAAATCAACTTGGGTGAAAGATGTAATGGACATTTGAGATTATATAAGTTTCGTAAAATCAGGATGTGCTTTTCTAATTACATTATTAGTAGCACGTCTGTCGGTACCAAAATCAAGAAGCAATACTTAATTAAAACTCTATTTATGTTCTGTTTTTACCAAAATAACCTATAATTTTATATATTTTAGGGCTATTTTGGTCAACCAACTTTGTATTCGTGCTATTATAATAATATAGATAGATACTAGTTCTCGAACACGTATGTTGCACGTGTATTCTATGCTAATTAATATAAATATTTTAAAAAATTACAATAAGTGTGATAAATTGCACAAAAGTTGAAGAGAGGAAATACAAGCTCTCAAATTGATGAATAGTGAGCTTATTCAACCGATATTTGTTATCATTGCAAGGCATATCAAACTGAAAAATTGCTATCAAATGGACTTCAAAAGTAACATTCGAACGACTTTAATTATGCAATTCTTATAATATACCAAGTACTTAACTTGACCGTAATTCCTTTTTTTTTATATGCCAACAATATATTATTCACGTGTTGATTGTGGTTGCAAATATTTCACGTCTTAAAGTTTTTTAATAAAAAAACTGTAAAGTCTATCATTTTACACTCGCATACATATCAAGAGGTTATTGTCG